ATCGACGGATTGTACAGGTTCGAGTAGCAACGGGCTTCTTCACACAGCATGCGCAGTAGCCTAAGTACAAAAATGGGAGGCATGCGGATGTCCGCGCGGAGCCTCCGCGCACACTCTCCGATGACGATTTTTACGTCACGCATACCATAGCGGACCCTAGCGAACTCGCGGACGCGGAAAGTATAACAGGCTTGAGACATTTCATTTCAGTTTTAGATTAACTACAAAATTTAGATTTCGTTTAAGTTTTAGTTTCAGCTTTTAATTGTAGTTTTGGAATTAATATTAGATTTATATTTAGCTGTAGTTTTTTGTATAGTAATAAATTAGTTTTAGATTATTCTCTGGTTTTCAACTTTGTCTTTAGATTTAGTTTTAGATTTAACTTTATTTTTTATTCAATTTTAGCTTTAGTTTTAGAATTGGTTTTATATTTAGTTGAAATTTTAATTTTGGCTTTAAATTTAGGTTCAGTATTAGATTAATTACTAAATTTTAAATTTTGGATGGATTCGTTTGGATGCTTTAGATTTAGGGTTTTTAGATTTAATTTCCATCTTCATTTGTTAATTTCAGCTTTTACTACTTACTTAATCCTCTTGGTCCCAAGTGAGACATAAGGCTGCATTTCAGCTTTAAACTAGTATTAATATTGGTTTTAGATTTAGTTTCAGTTTTACGTTTGGTTTAATTCTAATGTTCATAATAGTAACGGATGATTGTGATGATAAACATAATGAAATTAATTCTTTATATGTTCCACAGCTGCTATTGGAGCATTTGGAGTGTTTGGTTTCGAGGCATGAACGTTCCCTACGTATGACTGTGGTGAAACGACAAGCTCAGTCTCCTTCTGGGGTCTCCAGTGAGGTGGAGGTCCTCAAAGCCCTTAAGTCCCTCTTTGAGCACCACAAAGCACTGGATGAGAAGGTAAACCCTGAGATCAACAACTGATGAGATTCCTTTTGTTTTGTTTTTTTATTGTTGAATTCACAGTGCATTGCAAAGATAGAAATCTGCTAGTATAAATTCATATGTGACACATCAAATGTACCACAGACCTGCTGATGTTTAACCCATATAATGAATATAGACCGACTGATCAATCTTAGTAACCAAAATAATATTATATAACCGCTTCCTCGCCTGGTTTTTGGAACAGTGAGGTGGAAGTACATTTATTAAACACCGCGACCCACAGTCCCACCTCTCCTTTCCTTCATCCAGTGGCATTTTATTTATGGATTAAGCCCTTGTGTGGTGGTTCATTCAGCTGTAATCCATTCTGCGGCTTTCTGCAGACACTGTCATTTAAAAGGCGTTAGGTAACAGATAGCAGGAAATTGCTTATGATTTATGGGACCACAGTTTTAGTGACCACAGACTGTCCAGTGATGAAGGACCGAACCCACTGAAATGATTCCAGTGATCAAACAGGTCACCAGAGAGGGCGATTAAAAGACTTATAATCAGTTGTAAGACAAAGAAAAAAAAATACTTAAAATTTGTCATACAGTACCACAACATTTTTTTAAAAATAACTTGGTCACTCTTTATTTTAAGGTCCAGTTCTCGCCATTAACAAACCGACTTTTGCCTCAATAAACTCCTAATTTGCTGCTTATTAATAGTTAGTAAGGTAGTTTTAGGTATTGGGTAGGATTAGGGATGTAGAATATGGTCATGCAGAATGTGCTTTATGAGTACTAATAAACAGCCAATATGTTAATAATAGACAGGCTAATAAGCATCAAGTTAATAGTGAGAATTGGTCCCTAAACTAAAGTGTTACCAATAACTTTATGAAAATTAATATTTACATTTTTTTCCCCACTGTGGTCCTTGAAACTAAATTTAATTATTAAATATAAGACCATTTTTATAAATTAAATACAAATTTATACTGTTACCATTTCATTAATTGATCATATAATGCTTTAGCAAATACCACGTTGTACGTACGATATCATGCTTATAGGTCATTCATGATAAACAATTAAATATACTATTAAAACTACACTTGCCGTTTCTAAGAATTGTATTCCATTTTAATTCTACTTCCTTAAATTCTGCAATTCTGCATTGTTTGCAACCATCATTTAAATGCAATTCTAAATCAGGAAGAAAAAAAACATTCTCAGATCAGTTCAGAGTAGAGCACAGCTATGATGAACAGTGAGTGATGGCATTTTGTGTTTCGTTCAGGTACGAGAGAGATTGCGGGTGTCACTAGAGAGGGTCTCTGCCTTGGAGGAGGAGTTGACCGCAGCCAATCAGGAGGTGAGGCACAAATGCTCTGATTTACGTAATTATACAGCAATCTGCACCCAAAAGGAGCTAAATATACTTAATAAACATGCTATATGTTTAATTGTTGCTATGGTGTGTTGTTTTTGCTTGACCTGATTAGTGTGAAATGCAACAGAGCAAATAGTACATTGTGTATTTTAGTGTTTATTCTAGTACTGGCAGTCCAGATGGTGCAGTTCTAGCTGAAAGAGCTTCAAACTTCTCAACAAGAGCCAAATACATTTTTCCTTTAAGAGATATGTAATTTTGAGATTGTGTGTACTACTTTTGACTGCACTGTGAGTAATGTCTCTGTTTCTGAATGAACACTCGTCTGATCTTTTCGGGTCAAGAGAGAGGTTTGCCTCAGATCAAAGAGCCAGACAGATGGAGAGGTGAGAAGAAGTTAAAGCAGTTATTTAAAACAAGACTTGACTCAGTCCTAAGATAGATAAATAGAGAGGTGGGTGGGGTATATCTGAAATAACATCTTAAACAAGTCATACTGTATATAAAAACATCTAAAGATGCAAAACCAACAGAAAACATACCGATGAGAAGATTATTAAATCTAAGCGCGTGCTTAAGATTATTTAAGGTTTCTGTTCTGTCTGTGTAAGCGGTGTCTGAAATGTAGAAATTAAAGGCTGCACATCTGAAACTACCTCTAAACAGTGAAAAAAAACAGGCAATCTATTAAAGGGATAGTTCACCCAAAAATGAAAATTCTGTCGTTTCAAACCCGTAAGACCTTCGTTCATCTTCGAAACACAAATGAAGATATTTTTGATGAAATCCGAGAGCTTTCTGACCCTGCATAGACAGTAATGCAACTGACACATTCAAGGCCCAGAAAGGTAGTAAGGACATCGTTAAAATAGTCCATGTGACATCAATGGTTCAACCGTAATTTTATATAGCTACGAGAATACTTAAAGGCTATCTTTGACATATTTTAGCGTTCTCAGTATTATGAGTGGTTCATTTCTGCATGTGTCTAACTGAACCATTTCTATTTCAAGTGTACGTTAATATCTCAGAGTTAGAGGGAGCAAAATGTTGTTTTACACGACACATTCAGGTGAGTAGCAAAGATGAATCAGGTTTCTGTGAAGTAGTTGTCTCCTGTTTGAAACAAACCAGCATTTGAGGCACAGCCGGGCTCGTACGCACTCGGCTTTGATGAGGCCAAATGAACGACATCAAAGCGGACATGCTCACTTTCATTGGGCCTCCACTTCTCATTTACCTTCATTTGCAAGTTGACTCAATATTCCGGCTCTTTGTGAAGTCAGAAGGTGCGGTATTGTTTGATCTTCAGGCCTCGAAAAATGGCAGACGATTCCCTTTCTGAGCCTTCAAAAGCGCGAAGCCCCTTAATTGCCGCCTCATTAAAGGAATGCGTGGAGAGCGGCGATAAACCAAACAAAGGGAAGCGGATGTCTTCCTTATATCCATCCATCTATCCTGCTTCCTCTGAGCTCACAGTGGACATAGCATCTCGACATGGGTGTGGAATAATCTCCCAATGCCCTTTATCCTGGAGAGAACACAACTTGTATGTGTGTGTGTGTGAGTGTGACAGGGCTCATCAGTCAGATAACCTGCTTTAGAGATGCTCCTTGAAGAATACTAGTTTATTTTATTAGGGAGCATATGCCAGTGGCCATGGTCAGCAACTTCTGCTGCTATATTTGTATGCGCAGCAGTTTTACATTTATTGGGCTGTGGCAGGTTTGTGCTGGTCCAGATATACAGCATTTCATAAATTACATTATAGTGTAAGATATAGTGGTGGTTATTGTAGTAAAAAAGTATATATGTTTTTATTTGAACCATTGGTATTCATTTGAGTACTGTGGTATTTATAAAACTACCATGGTATAACCATGAACATCAACAGTATATTGTAGTGGCATCAAATACTTTTTTGAATGAGATATTATTTTGGAATTGAATGCAAGAAGGTATGTTCTTTTAAATTATCATTATTATTATTATTATTATTATTATTTCTTTAAATTTTGATTATGTACAAACTTGGGCTGTTGATGTTAACATGTCAAAATGTAAGTTTTTTTTATGCTGTTAAAGGGATATTTCACCCAAAAATGAAAATTCTCTCGTCATTTACTCTCTCATGTCATCCCAGATGTATACACTGCAAAAAATGTGGCGTAGAATTTACTTTCAAACTATTTTCATTCAGAAATTGCTAGTAAATTTTGCAAACAATTACAAAGAAATGGCAAGTAACATATTGAATTAAACAAAATTTTGCAGTAGAAATGCTGAAATAGTATTTTCTTGTAAAATCCCAAACCTTTTTTAAGAGTAATTTTTACAGTTGTTGGGCCTTTCTTCACATGAACACAAATTAATTATTATTATTATTTTTTTTTTTTCATCTGTTCATGGCCCACTGATGGTTAGGTTTAGTTGTGGGGTTAAGGGTGGAACTTCATACTTACTGTTCTAAAAATCGTATATTTCCACATGAATTGGATTGTTTAAATTCATACAAAATTGCCACCTGGTAAAACCGTTATGTTTTCTAATGAGATCATGCTGATACGACACCAGTGGATGAATCCATGTGTTCTGAAATGAAACGAACAATAAGTGTGTGTGTGTGTAAGAAAAATATGTATATTTTAAACTTTTGTTGGTCACGTTTTATTTTAAGGTCCAATTCTCGCTATTAACAGACCATTAACTACGGCTTCTGCCTCAATAAACTCCTCATTTGCTGCTTATTAACAGTCAGTGAGGTATTTGTTAAGTTTAGGTATTGGGTAGGATTAGGGATGTAGAATATGGTCATACAGAATATGTGCTTTATAAGCACTAGTAGCAGCCAGTAACAGCCAATATGTTATTAATAGGCATGCTAATAAGCAACTAGTTAATAGTGAGAATTGGTCCCTACAGTAAAGTGTTATCCTCTTTTTAACTATTGACTCTGGCCAACTGTCCTACACATGCTCATGGACAAGTCAAATTTACACTTGATGTAATTGACACATTGTGAAGCTGTCGCTTGTCACTTTTCATGTGATCTTCACAGTGCGATTAAGTTGTGCTTTACAAAATTTTAAAAGTGCATACATTTACCACAACTTGCCTATAATTGATCACTTCAGAATGTTAACTCTGTCTCTGACATTTAATACTGCTAGTCTTGTGACAGCAATGTGAAGTGTCATGTGAAATCCCTATAGAAACACTTGATGACATGCCCTTAAATGCGTTATACCCCATAATAAAATTGTATTTGTTCAAAAAAGGCATAATTTAGTATGTCATAATCATTTTATACCTTCTCTCTCTCTAATAATCAAACAGGCTGTTTTATGCTGCTGCTGTGCCTTTAAGACTTCTTTGTGAAAATCCAGTATAGTTGGTGCTGGCAGCTGTAACAAATTGTTGAGGTGGGTTGTTAAATGATCAGTTAGAGCCGCCTGTTTCCAACGTTCCTGCTGCTCCTCAATAATTCCTGTCAGAACGAGAGCTACGGTACAGCGTGCCCTTGATACTGTACATTTGCATTTAAAAACTGATGGAAAAGGGACCGTGCTTGCTGTTGATGTGCTACATGTATGAAGCAAACCCTTCTAAGCTGTCTAAGTTTGATTTATGATGCAGTTTTTCTGTATGCTTGCAGTTTCAAGAGAATTATGTATGAACATCATACAAAAATGACTCTAGAAGATAATACACACAGAGTCTAGGAAAAATATGATTTGGTCTGCCCATCAAAACAGTATGGATATCCAATTTGAATATATATTTAAAAAAAACTCAAATACAAATAAAAAAAAGTTTGGATGACATTGGAAACGTTCGTTGCTTCCAGGTGATACAAATAAAGTATAAGACCTGCTTAGTCTTTATTTGCACAAGGCAATAAAATAGTACCAGTAATATTTGATGTTGCTTATGAATATCACTTTTTTAGGTTTTATTGGACCAGTAACATGTAAGTCAGGATGATATATGTTTCTATTATGTCTTTACTGTTTGGTATATTATTTGGCATAAAGTGTCCTATCAAACAACAACTGATTTCAGTATTGCTGGGTTTTATTTTACATTAAATCTCTCTATATTGCGCTTTTGCAGATTGTGGCCTTAAGAGAGCAGAATGCACACATTCAGAGGAAGGTGGCGTCAGGAGAAGGGGCTGAGGACTTGTTGGAGGGAACCGATGCTCAGAAAGTTCATGGCAAGGTGAGGGAACCAGGCTCTAAACTGCCTCAGAGTGGTTAATGATCTCTCAACAGTCAGATTTTGTTTTATGAATGCTAAAAGTACGCTAACATTCAGAAGTTTGGGTCGGTGAGATTTTTGTTACAATACAATTTAAAGTAGCTGTATTTTAGTATATTTAAAAATTTAATTTATTCCTGTGATTGCAAGGCTAATTTTACTGTCAATTTTGGTCAATGCTTGCTTGTTGAATAAAAGTATTAATTTCTTAGAAAACAAAATCTAGACAACCCCAAACTTTTAAATGGCACTGTACAGAACTGGTGACTAGAAGTGATTTATTTTGACGTACAATCAGCTTTTAGTCTAACAGGGAAAGAAAGAAACTACTGAAAATAGTTTTTGAACACAGATGTGTAAAATAAAATCAGTAAACCTCTATACAGTCTACACACATGACTCATCCTGTCAGACTGTGATTCTAAATCACATTTAATGTGCAGTTAAACCAGTCGCAGCAGAATCTTGCCTCACACTCCTGATGAAAAGATAACAGGATGAGAAGAGAGTCATCCTCCTCTCGCTGTCACCGGTGGGTGCTGTGTGCGGCATTAGATTGTGCTGGAATGGTGACAGTGATGGCAGGAACATGTGGCCTTGTAAAAGATTAAAGTTGGCACTTTGACAGTATATCTCAATTGGCCAAATTAATCTCCCATGATGCTCGATAGATTCAGTAGCAGTACTGACGATATCCAGGGCCTCTGGCACTGATGCATGGGTCCAACCGACCAACCAGAGGTCACTGGCTTTGCCTGTATGTAACAAACATATCTGACCCTGTCAAATAGACAAAAAAGACAGAAAAAGAAATAGAGAGACAGTGAGAGTGAGTCATTATCAGACCCTACAGCTGCTCCAGAATAAATCGTGGCTATTCTTTGTCTTGTCTTTCTCGTTTGTTTACGATCACAGAACCCTCTTCTGGTGAAGTCGTGTCGATCTCTCGTGGCTTCACAGCTTTGACGGAGTAAATTCTGTGTGCTCTGCAAATGATTTTATCACCCTTCTGTCTGGGTGTCTGCACCATAAATTAAACAGGATGTAAAGTCTAATTTTAGTGCAGCATAAGATGTGTCAAGATTTAGTGTGAATATGTGAGAAAAATCTTTATTTTAGGCATGGCAGAGGAAAGATCTGCTGAGCCTCTGTTTCACACTGAGAAAGCAATTAGACTGAACAGACACAAATGTGCATGCTGGGAATTCAACAGTCCAAATAAAGAGCACTGTGCTAGATGACAGTTTCAGTGAATGAATCGATGAAGTAGCTGAAAACATTAAAGGGTTAGTTCACCCAAAAATGAAAATTCTGTCATTAATTACTCACCCTCATGTTATTCCAAACCCGTAAGACCTTCGTTCATCTTTGGAACACAATTTAAGATATTTTTGATTAAATCTGAGGGCTCTCTGGCCCTCCCATAGACGGCAAGGTAACTACCACGTTCAAGGTCCAGAAAAATAACAAGTTGATCGACAAAGTAGTCCGTGTGACATCAGTGGTTCAACTGTAAAGTTACGAAGCTACGAGAATACTTTTTTGCGCAAAGAAAACAAAAATAACGACTTTATTCCACATTTTCGTCTCTACTGCGTGACTTGTGGACGCGCGTTCACGACAGTATTATGACGCGAGCGTGTGGTCAGCGCCAGCGCCGCCACACGCTCACGTCATGGTACTGTCGTGAACGCGCGTTGACCACTGATGTCACACGGACTACTTTGTCGATCATCTTGGTACTTTTCTGGACCTTGAACGTGGTAGTTACCTTGCTGTCTATGGGAGGGTCAGAGAGCCCTCATGTGTCATCAAAAATAACTTAAATTGTGTTCCGAAGATGAACGAAGGTCTTACGGGTTTCGAACAACACGAGGGTGAGTAATTAATGACAGAATTGTCATTTTTGGGTGAACTAACCCT